AATCAGAGCGCGCGAACTATTTGAATATTTTATAATTCATGTTGAATTTTGGGTTAATCGAGATTGTCCGCACGCATAGCGAAATATAATAAAATTAATCATAACGCCCAAGAGAAAGAGTTAAAGGTCTGCCACAAATAACAGTAGGAGGGATATCACCAGGACCATATTTGTGAAAAGGGAAGTTATACTTACAAAATATACAGCATCCCATGATCACCAAAAACATTTGGTCGAGGTTCCCGCTTAATCCTTTAAAACCGGCTTCAAGTTTTTCAAACTGTGCGTCGGCCATTTCGACTGTTACTTCTGTTTTACTTCCTCAGAAAATGATAGTAAAGAACTTAAGTGTTTTTGGCCTTAATGGCTGATGAAACACTCGCCAAACAACAACGTACTTTATAGGTCCTATTCACTTTGTGAAAATGCTAATTTTTTACGGCGTTTCGAAAGGTCGCAATGTTTTCATTCATCCCATATCGCCACGTGATTTGTGGCTGGTTGTGTGACAGACGTGGGCAAAGAGGCCTTCACGTGATAGACTGAAATGTAAATATTTCACGTTGGTAGAAGTAAATATGACTTTTTATCGAGCATTAATCTGGCTAAGTTTACTGTGGGTCTACCTTCGAACTAATGGAGTTTTAAGAGCCGAACGTTTTTATCTAACACTAACGAAAAGCAACTCGATGACCGAATGAGGGACAATCCTCAATAGAAATAGTAAGAAAGTTAGCGTGTTGTCTAGCGTGGCATTGGCGCATGCATTAATCAAAGGCCACGCGAGATAAGCAAAAATTTGCATACGGACTTTAACCCCTAAAGAGGAGATCTTCCGGCTGCTGGCACAAGTAGGAAACAAACAGTTTCTTATCTGTTAGTTCGAATTTAATCTTGTTACGTGTCTCATCCGCAACGGTTTTTAAGGTTGGAATGTATATTTAGCGTCAGTTTCTGTAGATCTCTTCCACTTAATGTCCAGCGCCCAGTCATTCGAAGGCCGATTAGCGCTAACCCGGGGTTAAGTTTTAGTCTGGATTTCTTTATTCCCTTCTTCAAAGGCCTATTTTAGATAATTTCTTCAATTCTTTTTAGAACATTCAGGCATCAAATTGTAGGCAAAAATAAACACACAGAATATGCCTGTACAGCTTTCAGATCTGAGGTCAGATTTCATACTAACCCCGGGTCATCTTAACCTAGCTTTGAACAACATGGCCCAGAGCTTTATTGATTGCACATCTGAATCACTTTTAGGAAGCCTGACTTTTCAACCATTTTTAACTGCTGTTTTGTTTGAATGTAAAAATGTTCTCTAAATGTTCGTGTTTGTCAAACAATTCAGGTTGCTAAACACTCAACGAAAGCAGAAATCATAGTCCCCCACATCTTCAGACCCGAGTTTATTTTTACAACAACGGACTGTTTTATTGTATGAAACAGGTATCAATGGCAACCTGCAGACTCTCTGTGATATGTATTAGGGCAGCTTGTTTACTAAATATAGTCACCCGACAAAGGCGTATTCTGTCTTCGGTAAGTGCCATTTATTAATTCAGAATGAATGACTTTAGTTGAAATTCAGCTACCTGCATCTTGAAGAATACAGTCTTAAGAAATCAGTTCGAAATGGGTGTGAAATTTTGTAATAAATGTTAAAAAAGTGACGGTAAATAGTTAAGATAGCTAGAAAGCAGCTTCCTTATTAATCTTGGCGCATTGATAGCCACAAGTTCGGACCACAAGCATTTTCTCCCAGTACCACAACTCTGGTGGCTTTTTGGTATAAATCGTTTTTTTCCTTTGGTAAATATCGGCTAAGACCCCAATAGAGGTAAATCAAAATTAATATCATCAGGGCAAAGCGGTTGAGGCTCCTCAAAAAAATTCTCTTTTCGCGGAAGACTGATTAAAAATTAAAATGCCTTCGCCTTTCTATTCCTCGACCTCAAGAACAAAGTCCCTCTCAAACTGGTTTTTAAGACCCAAAAGGTAAGCCTGCAGTCCAGCTTTGTCCAGGCGAGAGTTGCGTCCAGCTTGGAAAAGCTTAGTTGCCAATCGGAACACTGCCATTTGTTGGCGACTCTCTGATGACAACAACTGACTCGTCTGAAATGACATAGATAAAGGAGCTGAGTCATAAATCTTCAACAATTAAGCCTGAATTTTCAAGTTGCGCAATTCCCAGATTTGCAATCTTTCGCAGTTGAATCTTTGCTATCTTAAACTATCTGCCGTCGTAATTTGATTTTTCGTACTTCTTTTATTTATTTATGTTCGAGCAAACTGTGACGTTGAGGTTGCTTTTGTCCAAAGAAAATTCACTCTCACGCCAAAATTGTCTCAGAATTTCGAAACGAAACTCTTTTTAAGAGTTTTCTTTTAAAGAGCTTTTTGATTTAAAAATCTAAACACACTGCCTGAGAATGCAAAGGTCCAATGTCAAGTCTTGTAAATTGCAACGGCTGGTTAAAAAAGGACACAAGCAGGTTCCTCAAAAAAGCTAAGAATTGATATCAATTAACCCATACCACCATGAAGAATAAACAAATGGAATTCTCCCAACTCACAAGGTGGTAGTCGTCACGAGAATAATCTCCATACGTCAAACGGAATAAGAGCTCTAAGCCAAGGGTTAATTAAGTTTGGAAGAAGGAGAACATAAACTGGAGGGTAAGCAGCAGAAACTCGTGAAAGATGAAGTAAGGTTAATTCTTCACTCATGATTTGAGATTGGGCAAGTGAGAATCCTCCTGTTTCGTTCTTACGAAAACTTTGGTAAATTGAAATAAAGAGCGGCGACTGAAATACGAACTGCGACTTCATATCTACCTCTTTCTGTCTTGTCAACTCGGTTGAAATTTCTCGAGCTTCCCTGATGATTGACTGAGGCAACGTCGAGAACTCAGCAAGTTGAACACCTGTCATGGATGAAACGCTTCCAGTTTAATAACTCGAGCAACCTTATTTTCATCCAAAAAATCGCAACTCGTTACAGACAAGAGGAAGCCTTCTAGTCACGCGCGACAGTATTTCCGGGAAGATAATGCCAGTTTTAGTGTAAGGTGTTAAAGCTTTGAGAAACAGTCCCTATTGAATTCAACATTTCAACAGGAAGTAAAGGGCGAATATATGCAGAGGTGAAAAAATCTAGTCCAGTATGGGTGGGCGTGAGTAGAGAATATTTCAATTTTTAGGCGAATTACTAAGGTTTTATTTCTAGGAATACCACCAGGAGGCAAGACTGAGCATGCATGCAGCATCTATAGGCGAGCACAATTACAAGTATTATGAAGCCCGGTACTAATCACATTCCTCGTAATTACTATATATAATTCAAGATTATCATTTTTTGTGTTGAATACTCACCATAGTGTTTTTCTTCTGTTTTTCCTTTTGATACCACGTGAGTGTATGTTATTTTCTCACTTGCAGCTTCTGCACTAAACATTTTCTGAAAACATATTTCAAATATTCTAGTTAGAACAAATTCATCAACTAATAAATGCTTACCAATAACCTGCGTGGAGGATTAGCAAAACGATCGTGTTCCCAGGAAATTAATTTTTTGGGAAGTAACAAGCTACCAGTTTAAATCTGACTAACCTATTGTGGTAATGTTTCAAAATAATTACCTGGATCTTCAAATGCAAACTGTAAAGAGAGAAAACTAATGTCAGTTGTACCTCTAAGCAGTGTGTATGTTTCCATTGAAATAACAGTAATTCCTTTGGCTGCAAATGTAAACATCTATATGTAGTAGTAATAATGATAATGATGACATCGATGATAAGAGTAACAGTGATAACATCAATTGGATATTTTCGCAGGATAGCCTAGTACACAATAGCACTTTAATCTTCATCAATCGATGAGTCAATCAGTTCATCAAACCTACCGATCAATCAATAAGTAAGATACTCGTATTAAGAATATTCGTTACCGAGATGCTGCGACGGTGGCACATTTTCCACTTACTTTTCTACGTTAGGGTATAAGCTATCCATTGTTGTCAATTCAAGGAAGTGGGTTGCAAAGAATGTAAATGTCTATAAAATAAGAGAGAAACCTATTACTACATCTACAGTGCTTCCGACATTTTAAATGCCTCTACCAAAATCTACGAACATTTTACATTTGCATTCACCTATTCGTTTTTTTATCTTCTATCTAGTGAGATAAATGCGAGCTTTTGGAAAGCAGTTGGAATATTTAAACGCTAATAAATGCTGATTATATTTTTTCATATTAACCTTCAGGTTGATTGTTACCTTTCTTTTCAGTAGAGTTTCAGCAATGGAGAAACAAATTCCAACTCCTTCCTCGCTACTAGTTCCTGGAAAAAAGATAGCAGTTGAGATATAGTGGCAGCTAATGTCAAAATTACCTTCTCTTCATTTCTAACTTCTTTTTTAAGTCAATCTTCTCATTGTTGTTATTGTTATTTTCACCATTACTGTTCTCCTTTTATATTTACATTTTTTGATGACACTAACCGATACAAGACACACGAAGTTAGACGCCGAAGTAGTTGAAGTAGTGGTTGTGTAAAAGACACAGAGCAATATCGCAGCGAATGAAGAGAGCCACAGGATGCTCCTTATGGCATGCTCAGCTTTTCTCCCTCAACAACGTCCTAACAATTTAGTACGTCACTGTGAATCTGAGTAATGTACCTCTTCCAAGCTCGTCAATTATGATAAGTGACATGTCACTGGCATTCTAGAAAAAAATTTAAATTCCTTGTAAACGTGCAAACTAAAGACTGAAATGTGGAAACGAAGATGTACACTCCATTTAAAAGAAATGGAAACGCACCTGAATGATGTAGTGGATTTCTCGCATCTACGAAATAAAACAGGATGCCTTTAGTCTTTTGAGCTTACGATATATCGTAGTTATTCTTGTTTTTGGCCTGCTCATGTACCGTCAGTAGGTATCATGGCAAAAATTACATTTAGGTGAGTACGAATTTTTGAACGACTAGTTAAATATATGGAATCTGAAATCGCCATAGGAGGGTAAATTTTATCGTAGGCTTTTCAACAGTGGAAATGAAAATTAAAGGGTTTGTGAAAAACACTTTTCCCTTAAATGGAACCGTCGGAAGCCATAAGCTTTATGGAAACCACTTTCGAAGTAAATGAAACTCACTTCAAGGGTGAAGGTGGAGGAATTGGTTTCAATGTCATCATCGCTTCCTATCCTTGAAAGTATTTGATCAGCGGCTCTGAATGAAGCGTATCCCGCAGGTACGTAGCATCCAACCTGGGCCATTATTTGGAGCATGGCTATCTGTTTCAGGTATGTAGATTTACCACTCTACAGTTAAAAAACATCGCGCATTGGTATTTGTTTTTAAAAGTGTTTAAGGGACAGTTTAATTTGTTCTACCAGGCACTAGCATACCATGTTAGGTCCTGTTATGACTAGAAAATTTGACCCCTCAGTAGCATACTGAAAAGAAAACATAATTAATAATTAGCTTGGGGCAACCCAGTTTTACTTCTACCCATTAATCTATTTTCTTCTGTTTTCATTAGGAACCAAATTGCCAAAACGCCTGCTAGCTCTACAGTGAACGAATTAAAGAAGCTAATCATGAATCCAACGCCCTGAAAAGGTTCCTCGTAAAATTTGAAAGGAACATGTCAGTTTATCCTATTATACTGACCGTGTTATTTGCTGTTGGTGGTTCGGGAAGTATTTTATCTAAAATAGGATGACGTCCATTCTTAATCGCCAAAGTATCCGTGAATTCTGGTCGAACTTAAAAAGAAACAAGAATGTGCCTCTTAATTATAAAACTGACAACGCATCTAGAGACGAGCCATAAAGAACAAACCTACCATAGTCAGACAAAGTACATAGGTGAGCAAATGAAACCAACATGTCCATCACACTGACAAGCTCAGCAAGTTTATAAAGGCAACCCATGTGTTCCCTTATTTCACTCAGAAGTTCAGATACTACCCTATAAATGTTAAAAAGATAAAAAAAAAGTTAGATATTGCTCTCAAAATTATGTCCGTCAAGATTTTTGGTTCGTCGCACAGACATGACTGAAGGCCACCTATCATTATCATTTCGATTGCAATGCAGCTGGTGGGAGCCACGCCTAAAGAAACTTGACGCAGACTGACATATAGGAAAATTTGTTTTGCATCAGTTCTGTACCTCTTTGCAGCATTCAATGGCGACTTATTAACCTTAATAAATTAGTTTCCCTAGCGGACACAAAATTAGCGAATGTCGAGGCTGCACTTTAAGTCCATACAAAAATAAATTGCAAGACTTACACATTTGTCATGAGATATATTTCATTCAAAGACTCCTTTATCCTGTCTATGGTAAGAAATTGAGACACTCTTTAAATATTGTTGTTGGCACCAAGAGATAAACGCTCAAGTTATTTATGAAATGACTAGACAACTCACCATTAAGCTTTATCTAAAGCCATTAAAAGGAGCAGTGAGGGTGAAAAGAAATAAAAGTCAGTAGCTGCAATAAATCAGTATGGCTAGATATTGTCATTAACTGAGATTCTTTTAGTTCATGATTACATATTGCAAAATCACCTAGTTTTACGTTTATCACTTATAAATAATATTCTTCTTTACTAGCAAAAAACGAGTTCGATTTCGACGAAAGAGAAAGTAGCTAAAGTATCAAAGAAACAAAAAAGAAAAGAGCAGAGGAAAAAAATACAATTCAGCACTAAACGTAAAAGTTTAAGTTATCTTCTACAACACGTCTTCAAATAAGTCTTCTTTTGGTATCGATATATCTATTACTTATACTAACCAGATCTACCGTGGTAAAACAGACAGCACTTCTGACCTTCGTTGCTTTTAGGAACTCGTTGGGCAGTGTTTTTAAGTCAATATGTTCATCTCGGTTAAGCGTCATTTGCACAAAAAACCCCTTGGTGCCGTTGAAACCAGTTTTTAGGGGTAAGTTGTGCCTTTCCCCCAATTGCTTGATCATCTCTGAAATCAAGACCAACTTATGCTATAGATGACATAGATATATATGTCCCAGCGGTTACCAAAGGAGTGAACATAACGTATACATGTAGCAAGAGCACACAGGTCTCAAAACGAGGTCCTAATCCGACAAGATTCCAAAGTTCGTAAAACGATCTGATACATACTTTGTATTCAACTCACTGGCAGATGCATAAGGATAAAAAGACATCGTATATTATAATTTATCTCATTATTAAACATTTTATTGATCATGCTATACGTATTGAATCATTATCCGCACGTTATAAGGGGTACAGATCTAATTAACTCACCAGTTATGTCATCGACAATCTCAGTGTACGTTCTCCTGGCAACGTCCAACAGGCCTGCAAGGATGTCATACCATGGTCAATATCTCCTGTACTAATTAAAATAGGATAAGTTAAGATGGAAGATATTCTTACCGTTTATATGAGGCTTTCATCCATGTTTCAAATTGATTTTTTTTTTATTGGAAAAAGGCAGTAAAGATAAAAGTTAGTATTGCAATGCACAAAACAGTTAGCTCGAACCTACTCCATGTGTAATTAATAACAATTCCTACGAATTCTTTGATTAAATAAAGATCCTTATAAAATCATCGCGGGAATTCCTATTGTAGGAAACGATTCCATTATTCCATTAAAATAAGGAAGATTAGAATTGTGATTGAATTCGTACCCAGAGAAGATCAATGTGGGAGACGAAACCCTCCATTCTGGCCTTATCGCGCTAAAATCTTAAGATCGCTCACAGAAAACTGAAGTGATCTGAAAATAACTTTTAAAGCATTTCCTGATTTCAAAATCAGTATCTTAGCTTGAGCCCCTGTTGAGGTGTATTAGTCCATGCTTGTACCTTAACAGCAAAGCATTTCTGAGTCCTCATGTTGAGAGTTCCTTTCTGATACCGAGTGTCATCATGTATGACAGTCTGAATCTTCTCCATGATGGTTGCAAATCTGCTATCATTGAGTGACTGTGTGACACAAAAAAAAACTAGCCGATGAAAGAATATTTCAAATTCACTCTTTTTAAAAGGCAATTGTCTGAGCAAACGTCCTAAGCTTAGCTGACGTTTTTTAGCTCGACGACTTTGACCAGCATGTTAGTCATGTCTCTAAAACTGTACCTCATAATAAGCTTTGAAAAGGTCCGCCTCGGTATCCTGTAGAGCCGTTCTTAAAGGCTCGACAAGCTCCAGGGTGTGCTTCAGGTATATAACTGTTGTGATTTTGGATTCAGCTGTTTTCACTGTTTCTTGCTTGGGAAGCTGAACACACATAGAGGTTAGGTGGTCAATATCTAAGAACCGGCCTATCACTGTCGAATGAAAAAAAGGAAGGCAAATAGTTCAGTTTGCCATCTTTTGAAGAAAAAAAAGAAATGATTAATAGGCAAGCTTATCGGGTGAACACACAGGTATCCTGCATACAGCACCGCTCGCGCATACGTTAACCGAAAAACGCGAATAAAACGGGCCAAAGATGGCATGCAATTGCGAATAAAAAAAGTCGTGCGCGTCAAAAAATCGCACGTGCGCGCATAAACTTGGGAAAACTGCCTCAGGTATGTATGAGTTAGTCATTTTGTTTTTCTTTCCCAAGGAAAGAATAGGCTACGATGTAAGAGCACTAAAACACTACACGGCTACCAACGACATGTGTGTAGACAGCGCAGTAGCAAGTCCGTCAGACAGTTAATCAATTTGTCACTCAGTCGATCGGTCGGTCATTAAACTTACTAAGTCAGCTGTGTGTTACACTCGATCCTAAACTCACCAGACTGTAATCCGTAGAAGAGCTCCTGAGTGAGTAAGTAGAGGTGCAAAAAGATGAGGAGGTTGAAAGACACATGTATAGGCCGCAAAACCAATGACATGTATGAAAAATGACTCGCAGTAAAGACAGCGATTCCAAACCAAAAGATACTAACCTCTTTGTTTGTTAACTCTGTCGGGAAAAGAGAGAAAGTTGTTTCCTAGCATAACACGTGTGTACTCACTTAACAAAAACCGTGAACTTTGAATTATCAGCTGATTTGTTTCACTCAGGATTGAAAGTCGCTCCCAGTTGATACACACGGCCACTTACCTCCTATGCAATCTAAACGTACATTTGTTGTCTCTGCATCTGTTTAAAAACGAAACACGGGCGAGTTCTCTGATAAGCATAATCTTCTAACTAAGTGTTTGGGCGCATGCTGTTTTGTAGTAACAATCTACTTCACTGAACATAATATCTGACTTACTGTGCAGTCTTCTAAACTCTTTGAGTGCAAAAGTATGACCATGATTAATCACTAGAACCAAAGAATGTCTTATCATACATTAGAAGGAGCGACACAAAGCTGCCAATAGTTCCCCACTCATGGTTTCACATTCTTCATCTTGAAAACGTAAAAATCTACCTGAGAAATAAGCTCTTGAAAGTGCATTTAAAGAGGAATAAATTGTTGTTACTCACCACAAGGGGGTTGAAGAATATTTGATCTTAAAAGGCGGGCTGCAAGATAACAAAGCATAAGGAGAAAGTGAGACGGGGACACGTCAACCAATCCATAGAGGTAACACAATCTCAATCAGTTTAGAAATTAGCACTGTACAAAAAAGGAATACGTCTCCTTGTACCTCCTCCAGCTGTCTTCGTGTGGTTCAGAATTCCACAAAGACAGTGACCACTCTCAGGATCCCTGGCATTCTGAATTAGTTCTAAGTTCTTTATAGTTGAGGAATCTGAAAAATTACGCAACGCTTAGGTTAATATGGAGGTAATATCTTTGAAAGGCCGAATCAGATGACAGTGAGCTCGAAATTGTTCAAGGCTCCAGTCCAATAGAAGCTAGTGACAAGAGAGGGAGGGATGAAGTGAATCACAATTTTCAAGAGAGTGCTTGGTCTAATTTCGTTTTACAGCTTGTCACTCAAACAACTCTACTCTAAGCATGGTAGAAGATATGCTCTTACCTACAATCGCTGTCTTCTCACTCCCTTTGAACACTACTTTAATAGATCCAGGAGCATAAACAATGTTCTGAATAAATTCCACGTACTTGAGCAAAGCCTGTCAGTTCAAAGTAAAGGTTATTTCCTCCAAGATTTGTAAAGAAAAGACATAAAGCCAAAATGCAAAACTCGCCTCGGAGAAACTTAGATATAGTTTTCTAATAAATAGTAACAATCATTTATAAAACTTACGGCAGCCGTCGCAAGGCAATAGTACCTATGAAAAAAAAACAAAATAATAGACTTATTAATCTGAATGTGAAGACAACTTCCGAATCAGAACTTTACTTTAAACACCAACTTGCGTGCTTGGCTTCTCGAAGACCTTCCGCGTGCGGAAAAATAGAATCTGTAAACGGATTGTTTGCGTATTCCTCACTGCCGATTTGACGTGAAAAAATTACCAATAAACAGTAAATAACCCGTAAATTTGATTGTTTTCTACAAGTGACACGAATTTCATCGAATGTCACACTGACGACCATCTACTGTATAAATCTGTTGTCATTTCAACTTACTTCGAGGCTACCTCCATTTCAACAGTGTTTAACTCTGGAACGCAGAGTTGTTTCACGTAATCTAAGCCTGAAACAAAAACCGAATGACTGCTCAAGAAATGACAAGGAGCAAGAGACCTCATCCTCTCTAGAAAGGGATTGAAAGGATTATTGACAGCAGTGAAAGATGTTTTCGTTATTTTTGGCTAGATTTCTTTAAACTTGCTTTTTACTGCCCCAAAATGTAAAATGTGTTACCTTTCGCCTCGTTGAAGTATTTCCGCTGGACAGATGATAAGTTTGCGTAAGGTATCTGGTCACTTAGAAACTTGAATAGCGGAGAAGGGTTTTCACACGCTGTATTAGGCATGATAATCTGGTAAAAGAAGGAAAACGAAGCATAACCAAACAAAAGAACAAAGACAAAACAAGAAAAAAAAAACTAAAAAAATTGGAGAGTTTAATATGAAACACGGACTGTTTCATCAGTAATTAATTTCTCGCTGACCACTACATCTATATCATGCATGAAAGAAAGGTGATTGGAAAAAGCATTCCAACCAGGCGTCTTCGCATCTATCTGTTGTGTTTTTTTATTAACACACAGTCGTGTGAGGAAACGAAATAAAAACTTTGCGTATTCTAAACTTGTTGTCGATTTTCAGTTCTTAACTGACAGATCATTTGGAACGCAATTAGGGACCCGACCACATTTGTAACAAATTTGTTGTTACGTATTGTTCATAACATGATACACATCGGTTACCAACTTACCTCCAAAGGCTCCAAAATCTGTAGCTTTGTTAAAACCTTGACGTAAGTCTGGTTATCTGAGAACTTAACAAATAACACTAGTTATTGTTAGAAATATCATCTTTCGTGCAATTATCAGGAAAAAAACAGGAAATAACAAAATTATTTAATTCTGTGTGAGCCTACATAGGGCTAACATACGGTATGATGATAGCTGACCTGTGACAAGTTCAGTTCTGGTTTCTTCAGGTCGATGCTAGCCATCCCAATTTCTCCTTTTGCAAGGCCACGTCCTTCAACGATTGCTTTAAGAAAAATAACAATTCACAATTGCAAACTACATACGCCATTGTGTCTATGTAAGCTGCAATTTCCATGGCTCTCGTTTATCACTGAGAGGCATTTGATTTGGCGATCTGACCGGCGAGGGAAAATTGTTCGAGGAAGAAGAATCCCGTTGAAAATTAAAATCGACGATCAATAAAAAACCTAAATCAACGAAGAAACAACGATAATGACAATGATGATGATGATATAGGAACTTGTCTGGCGCAAATTTAACTTTCTCTTTCAAGGGGGTGGGTCAATGTTAATGAAGGAAGTATTCTAAATAAATATAAACTAGTTAAGAATCCAAACTGGCAGAAGGCAGACAGATGGCTCTTTTCATGGAACGCAGTCAGTGGGTTGAACTCGGGTAAATCTGGTGGGTAGCAAGGCGGAGGACTTGACTTCTTAACCATGCTGCCTCGGAGACCTTTATGTGCAATTTCTCGACGTTAGTTTCTCGTCGAAGGTAATTACTACTCAAAATGTCGCAATAGTGGATGACATAAGCATACGCTGATCAACCTACCAACCACAACAGAAGAAGTTGGCATTCCTGGGGTTGTGCTTGAGATGTGTGGGGTTCGACGTGAGCTGGGTGTCCTGCGGGAGGTACTGCTCGAGGCCATGAGCCTAGGTCCAGGGGCAGGTGTTGTTAATGAACTACCTGGGGTCTCTGTTTTGCTGGAACTGTTTGAGATAATTACTTTTATCACATAGTTTGCATCCAGATTACATACCACATCAATATCGGTAAATTAACGAGATGCTTTCTAAGTTTTAATTTTTAAATAAATTCAGTTGAACCATAGAGTTCCGTGAACCTGCTTCCAAAATTTTGTTGTTCAACTGCAAAGGTCTAACTCAATTTAAACCGATGCAGTCTTTGTTTCTTCTGTGAGGTCGTTTGAAAGGGTTCTGGGTTGAACCTAATTAAAAGATTACTTTCATTCAGTAGTCAACGTGACACAAATTATCAAGGGCTTATCAGACAACGGAAAAGTTTGTCTCTAGTATAGAGTGAAAATTTTATGAAAGATACCCGGAGTAGATGTTTGTCTTTAGACCCCTGCTGCTTGGCCCGGGTAGTTGGAAGTCACTAAAAGAACCCCCGCTGAGAAACGAGCTAACTGAAGCCGGTCCTTGGACAGCAGCTGTTCCAGATGTTGATGTGTCCAGCTCAAAGCCTACACAATAGAAAGTCAAAGGACTAAAATTAGTAAACGCCGAAGAAGGGGAAGGAGTACAATAGCACTTGAGTGGTCAATTTAAGACTCATTCTTAGACCAACGGAGAGGAGAAGGATTCGGGTTCGCCCATAAGTTGCGCAAGAAGCATTTAGGCTATAAGAAAATATGCATCATTTTGAGTAAAAAATGAGGGCTAAGGGTTACAACGGTAACGAATAGGTCGCTTCCCTTCTAAGTCTTCGAAAGCAGTGTTAAATCAAAATTAACTGACCCTATCTTCTCGTCAACATGGTCGATTTGAAAACCATCTAAAAAATCTCTAACATCTTGAAGTATTTGCCATTTTGGGAAACCGATTCAAAACTTTCTAGGGCTTCAAAAAGCCCCAGAAAAAAAATTCCCGGTGGCTTCAGAATTAGTTTTTCAACGCAAAGATGTTCTGACATGAAATCTTTAGTTGAAATGGCAAATTTTTCTAGACCGGATAATAAACACGTAAAAATTGTTTTTCTTTTCTTTACAATTGTTCGTTTGCTTGATTAATGCATTTTACGTTTCATGTATTAAAATTGTTTACAATGATATCAAGAAAAACATACAGAAGGCACTTAATTTGCATATTTATACTTACCGTATTTTGCTTGTCTCACAGATGACATTTTTCTTATAAGTTTCCTCCTACAACTCTTATCCTGCTGGAAAACTCCACAGAAAAAAGAGCCGTAGTCAGTAGTGGCCAGAATGTTCAGATAAGGTCACTTGTTCCTCTCTTGGGAGCAGGTATCTTTCAATATTTCGTAATTACATCTTATTCGTGCAGTGTCTGAACTGTAAATGTTCACTGACAAATCAACCGGCCAAATTCCCCCCGAAAGCAGATTTCATTCCTGACAAGTGGCGATTGGCGGGGAAATTGAAGCGGCTACCAACTTGGAAAACGCGCGCAAAAACTGGCGGGAGAATTGATCGATCAGGAGGCGCGCAAACCGTAACAAACAAAAATAGACAATCTAACAAAATCACAATGAACAGCAAAGATCTTTAATTTTAGGGTTGTTGGCCAGATACTTTGTCAAAAAACCTAATTAAAAGTTATCCGATCTGTTTCATTTAAGGTTGGCATTCTTGCGTTCTTCGGAAAACATGTCAATCTCGTTGCCAGACCCGCCATCATTTTGGTTAGAAGTACGGATCAGTAGAACACTCGTTCAGCAGGTCCTGAAGGACAAAAATGAAAAAGGCTTTGGCCAAAGACTTGCGATACGTGGTACTCATCAAATATATATCACTTCTCTGTGAGAGAGACTTTCAGCCACCGTGGTCGAAACGCAAGCAATTCCAATACGATGGTTGTTAGTATTGGCCCAGTACACTGTAGTCTTCTGGCTACAATAGGCTTCAATTCGGCCTGCCTCACGCAGTCTGAATGATGCCAATACTCTATATTGAAGGAGGTGGGTTGTACGACACTAGCCATAAAGATGTAAAATGCTAGTTTTTTTTTTATTATAAACAGTCTCTACGACAACACTCACTACAAACCACATCCCATATCAAATAAACAGATTTCATAGCTCGTAATAATTATTGAATGGTGCGATTCCAATGCTAAAATGGGCCAAATTGAAGTGCTTAGAGCAGTGATAGCGAAATAGCAGGTACTTACAATTCGACTAGTTATTGCGTTTTTGAATAAAACAAACTTGTCGTCGTTGAAAAGGCGCAATTTAGCTACAGTGAGTCTATTCAATACTGCAATTTGCAGGTTGTAGTTGGTTGTTAGTTCGCGATAAGAGTCTATTTTGATGCTCATGGCAACACACAGAACTCCTCCTTGGATCTGGAAAGAAATGTAACACGCAGTGTATACTGGAATGCGAAATTTTCATCAAGCAGTTTCTGCCTCTGTCTCCATAGCTTCAGATACGGGCTCGGTAGACTCGTCTTCATGGAACATGAATTCTGTTTGGTATTCTTTAAGAAACTGGGTCGAGCGAGCCTCGTCCAGAAACAGCGAATATACCCGTTTAATATCATCCACATTCACTTCCGTTCCCTTGGAGAAAATTGAAAAAGACGGTAAGTATACGTATGTCACTCTTAATAGAAACATTGCTCTGGGAAAAGGTTAGCTTAGGCTCTTGTATTTAACGATGTTTCGTTCTAGAGCAATCTTCTGTATCTTGTGACAGAAACTAAATGTATAATGAATATCTTTACAACTCTTATTAAAGGTGACCCGCGATGGTATTGGCACATAGCTCCACATCACACTGTACCTTTCGTTTCCGGCAAACTAGACTGGAAGCAGTGATTAGCTGAATGGAGTATCTAAGTGAAGTCTCTTGAGCAATTTTTGTAAGCAAAAATATAGCATCTTCGGACATCTCAACGTCTTCCTCCTCACATCTGTAACACAACAAATTGAATCAACACTACAAGTAAAACATTTTTGCGTCCCACTCAATGGCCAATATTATCGGTAATATAAGTTCTAATTGACTAATTTCCGCTTTCAATCTTTGCCAAAAATTGCACAAATGGAGCCGCCCTCGGAACAAGTCGATCCTTACGTGACGTCATGATCCACAAATGTGGGGTTTGAGATTTACCACATTCAGTCACACATTCTGACTAAACAGAATCACTATTTATCCTACAAACAAAGACTTGATGATACCGAAACTAATAATTTTGAACGTAGGTAAGAAAAGAGTTAACGTTTCTTGCCCACTGTACCTTATGGTAAGAATTTGTCTTAGATCTTTCTCTTGGTAAGGTGATGTTGAGATAATCAACAATCGGTCTAGCAGGTCCAGAGGTATTCCATGCGGACTCTTGTAATTGGTACCACGGATTCTGCAAGAAAAAAGAACGTCGTAGCACATCACTTTCAAGAAGCACATTTAAATTGAATGTCGCTTTCATTATATTTGATTAAAGTTATTGCGAGCTGAAGATGAAATGGTAATTCAGGTCGTTACATACAGTATTACTGTATGACAGTGTTCCCATGCAGACACTTTCTAGTTCAAACTTGTTCCCAGGGTTTCCTCTTCTTCCTACACACCGGAGCCTGAGGAGCACGTTGCACTAGTTCAAACGTATCTTTCCATGAAAAAATTCCCTTTCTTAAACACTTCAGTGTTTACTATGGTATGGCTGTTAGATTTGCTTGAAGCACTCTTGATGTTAGTACTACATAAACTTTTCTTACTTTGTGATTCCTCTGTTTGTAGCCATTATAAGAACTGGTGCCATGTCGTTTTCCAAAGCTCGGTTTAGAAAAGAGAAACACTCAATATCAAGCATGTGAACTTCATCAATAAACAGTACCTAGGGGAAAAAGCACCATACATTTATTTGTGTTAACAAGCTTTATGCCTAGAAAAGTAGTATATCCAATGGAAATGAGTACACAAAGAACAATTACTACATCTCATTTGAGGTGATGAGATATGAATCCCTATCATAACATATCAATAACCAAACGAACAAACCAATAGAAAAATAAAGTTAATTATCTCACCCCTGGTACAATATCAGCTTTTCCCTCTTCCCTCCATTCTGCAACTTTAGCATTGATTTGTTCCCGCACTTCTCCCTTGATTTCACCAGTGTCACCTTAACATAGTAAAATAAGTGCTTTAATATGTTTTGGTAATTCATAAACACTGGTAGACAGAGTTGCAGGTGTGACCACATGTGTCGCAAGCACACTCATAGACATCACCCGAGGAAAGTTATTCACCACTGGACTAATTTTGAGTTACATTCTGCACTGCATGCTGATGATTAAAAAAACATCAATTTTTTTTTTATCACAGACTGTTTGTAGGTATGATCAGCATGCCATTCATCCAGATGTACCTGAGAAGAGTGCCAGGAATCCCTGTGTTCTGCTGTTGATGACATCAATTTCATGGAGAGTGACTGTATGAACAACCTCTTTTCTTTTCTGTATCTCTCCTTCAGGACACTGGACAAACTTGGTCTAAGATAAAAAAAATTGTCTAACTTTACTGTGTGTACTTGTTCATGAGTTGCTCAGTTATTGTGTGAGATTTTAGATGCTGTTATTGCTCCTGGGAGGTTTATCTTGACAGAAGAGTCTGTAAATAAGACTGACCTCTGGAACTACCACAGCTCATGATAAAGTGATTAGGATGTATGCTACTCCTCCTGGACTGGACATTAGTAAAGAGTCCACCACAGGTTACCCAGAGTATTCCATCACTTTTCCCAAGCAGCTGGGTGGAAACTATTTTAAAAGTTTTACTCTCCTTGATGGATAGAAGCTCTGTGTGAGGTACATGTACATAATTTTCCCAGGAACAATGAAGAACAAAGAATAAAATCACATACCTGTGGCCCCATGGCATCATAATCTCTAGCTCTGTTAAATGAGCGTCCAAGTTTGGAGACTTTTCCTGTTGCTTTGTCAATTGTTATGATGTCCCTAAAACACAAATAATTGAGGAAAATGCAAGTTAAGATCATGTAGAGCATGTGCTTTAGAGCTCTGATGGGAATTTGTGACTGAATTACATTCAGAATGTATGTTCAATATTGACAACAGTTGACTGCAAGTACAAATATGTATAATTATTAAAATTCTTACCCTGCCTGCACTTTTTCTTTTGTCAGGGATTCTATCATCTTTGTTCCAAGATCATAAACAGTTTCCATCTCTGTTGTTTTTAAAGTCAGTTTGCCAACTTTTGCTCCCTAGAAGGATAATAATAAATAAAATCATACATTAATAAAAATAAAAATTAATCATTTTGGGCTGATTTCAAATGTTATTAAAGGGGGTCTACAAACTTGCAGGTAAAGTTACAATTATAGGGGTTTCATACTAATTTTACCATGGTTATGGATTTAATTAAAAAACTCCAACACATCAAACAGAGCTGCTTTTAATAACTATTTTAAAATCATTAAAAAAATTGGGGAGTATCAATCCATAAAATAATTGATACTTAGAAAAAATAACAACTAAAAGTTGAAGAAAAAATTCATCAACTTACTGTTCCACTAGCAGGCCTGTCAATTTGTATTTCTACAACTTCACCTTCTATGATTTCAGTTTCCTCTCTGACATAAGACAAATCATTGAATGCAAATTTCAGTCAATAAAGCAACTACAGTATTGTGAAAGCTTAAAACATGGTGTAACAAATAATTCTTGTACTCATATCTCAAATCTCAAGAAGGAACTTTAACAAAAAAACCTGACCAGGGATAACAGAATACTTCCCTAAAAGAAATATTAATAAATAAATGAGGAAAAAAACCAGCAGAGATATGATCTACTGGGAAAATTTCAAGGAAGGTTTCAATTAACTCACTTTATTCTTACTCCAATAGACCTTCTGAAAGCCTGTGTAAGGGCCTCTGTCTTTCCCATTTCCAATGAATAGATTTCACTTCCAGCTATAGCTGTAAAGGGAGTGTCAGGGCCAAGAGACTGTGCCATTCCTATGAAGAAAAATGACTAATTATTAAGATTCATAAGTCACGAACACTAAGAATTTAAAGTAAGTTACCTTATGAGAAAAACAAACCCTCTCAAAAAATGTCCAACACATTTCAGTGACATCTAAACTACAAAGTTAACTTAACATCAGCATGTAGTAATAAAAGATGCTGCAGACCTTTGTATGCAACACATGATTCACATTTACACATTTGTTAATCACTTTGAGTGTAAACAGATGACACTGTTTTTTTAGATCATTGCCTTGCGATTGGAACTACACCATTTGATATAAAAAAAAAAATCAAAATTCACTATGCACATTACCCATAGCAATAGCTGTTTTCCCAGTGCCAGGCTGTCCAGCAATCAGAACAGCTCTTCCTGCAATCTTCCCCTCCTAAAATAAGGATTAGAAGTTAATTTGCTTAAGTCAATATCCTGGTTTGAAATTATGTGAATAGAAAAGGCACAGTGACCTAGTAACTTGTAAATATGGGTCTATCTTTCAGATTCTCCTCTCTTCCACTGGTACAAGAGTTCTGTTCCCTATCCCCACATTCATTCAGATTGGAAATAATGAACTAGAGATTTTTAATTTTCTTCTGCACTGTTCTATAAATTCATTTAGAATCCCTAAGACACAAATAAGACTTAAACACAGCGACACTTGATGACTTTGACGTCATTTAACTCTTTTTAAAAACCTAGAGAAATCATGTGAAAGTAGCCCAGGACTGAAAGACAAAGAGTGAAATTAAGAATGTCTTATATCTGTACCTCTTGTAGAGGTAAAAGTAATAATTTGACCGTAATAACAAATGTTCAAAAATAGTGTCTTTACCACAGCCAATTACCTTGATCATTTCCAAAATAACACCAGCGGCTCTTCTGGCAGCAACCTGACCAACCATTCCTTGTGAAACCTATGAATCAAGGAGCAAGATTGCTCAGGATTTACAAGTACACATATACAATGATAACATGGGAAAAATAATTTCCCCTTTTGTCTCTTATTGCACAATCTGTGTTAATGGGTTGTAAGCCTTTCTTACTCATTTCAAGTTTCTATCAGAAATTTCAAGTGTAGCTTTGGATCCTTCAACTCCAAAAAATCTGATGTGCAATTCTCTCAACCAGATGCTGCAAATTTCCTTATATGTTAGTTAAAAGAAGTTGGTTGGTTAATTAGGGAGAATTAGCACAATAATATATTGTGATTTTAACCAAGCAGAGAAAAGAGTGTGTCCAGCTTAGCTGTCCACGAACCTTAAGCAAAAATTGGAGACTTAATAGTATAAAGATTGATGTTTAAATTACATTTGTACCTGTCTTGCTTCTAATGCATCATCTAAGCCAAGACCACGAATGTGGGAATGAGCTCCTAAATTAAACAAACAAACAAACAACAAAAGAAATCAAGCACCTTATTGTTAGCTTGTTTAGAAGGAGCTCAGGAAACAAAACCCAGACTGAAAAGTACCAGAAAATATTTGTGCATCCCTGTAATAGCCAAAGGCTCAAGCATAGTCATCACCACAAATGGAACGAGAGTGGTAGAGCACATTGGCAATACTGCCTGTTTGTTTCAGATACTTGTCCCTTAAAGCTCTCCAGGTTACTACAATTTAATCAGCAAACAAGTCACCTCACAGTTGAGAATTTCTGACATAACATTTTACAGCACACACAGCCTTATCAAAAGGTGGAATGATTTTAGTTACTTTACCTCTAAACCATGATGGTTGAACAGTTATTTTATCATATGCTAAAACAATTAATTAATGACCAGAGAGTATGGGTGTATCTCATGCAATCCATGTATTTTTTCATTACATTACATCACGACTAACCTATTCTTTCAATCCTAGTGATATCTCTCACTTCTTGAACTTTTTGTGCTGCTGCCTGCAAGACGGTAGCAACAAAGGCACAATCAAACTCATAACGTAGAAATGACAACAATTAAAAGGCACATGTACATGTACATACTTAGCTGCGGGATACACTATTATTACAGTGTTCATCTCTGCCCCCGACAAAAAAATTACCGGACAACTCAAGTAACAGCTTTATTATTTACAGTATATATATATATAACTTTTAAGAAAAATCTTTGATAAAGCAACGAAAACTGAAACTAAAACAGGCAAACTAAAACAATGGACACTAACAAACTCAGTGCTTACATAGTGACGCTAGAAGGTTTCTAGCTCTCTGAAGAAAAGAGGATTGTCATTAATAAGATTTAAAGAACATTTGGTTTAAATAAATGACGAAACTGTTATTTTTAATGGAAAAGGACGCTGTTTTCAAGTTAAAGAAAGATATTTCTTCGCTGCACATGGTAACTTACCGCCGCCATTTTGAACGCTTGCAGATGTCGTCTAGTACCCAGTTTACTTGACTCAAAATTTTTCGACTGGCCGATAGCTTTCGGAGTTTTTTTTGTGCTTTAAAAGAACCATCAATTACACGTGATTTTATTGATTTTTTTTACAAATTTTCATGTGTTTAATATAAAAAGGATAATTTTTCGAGATTTACTTCTGTACTTATTCTTTTTTTTCTGAGTTGAAAATGTTCGGATCATCTTCGGATGATATTCGCGAGAACACCTCGACTTTTTCCGATCTTCAAATGTGAGTGTCTTAGCCCAAGTAAGAAGCGAATCTTTTGTTATTGTCAAAAAGGATGACAACTCTAAACTTTGATGAAGATGAAGTTAACTTGAATAACAATGTAGCGGTAAGTTATTGTGGAAAAGGTCTCAAATGACAAAAATACCTCCACTTTACAATGTAGCATGAATACACGGACATACACTGGCCACCAATATGGCTCCTATATCGTTCATGAATATAATGGAATGCCTCAGCCAACATATGACGAACAAGTTGTGTCATTGGCGAGCTCAGGGTGAATTTGGAAACAAACTGTGCTTAGATTTTCTTGACCTTTTTCACTGTTCATTCCAAAAACATATTGTATTGAACAGGATCCCTACGTTTGATATTGATTAACTTCGTTACCATGCACCTCAGTTTTCCCGGTATGTTTCTGGCTCTGGAGGGATTTTAACTTGGAGAATCATAGTAAAGGTTCAGATTTTAGAACAGAAATATTAAAAAAATGGGCGCACTAAATGTATTTTGAAAGGGCAATGCAGGCATCGATGTATTTCCCAACACTGTGCCAAAACTGACTGCAAGGACATTCCATTTTTTATGTGTGACACATTGCAATTTTTTTTAGTTATTTTTTCTACAAGAATAATCCAGATGGGCAACAACCAATCAAGGAGCCCTCTTTGAAATATTATCCTTTTCCCTTGCTAAGTGTATCTTCGCTCATACGAGATCACAATATATTTTTGGTTGGGGTCTTTTCAGTCTGCTTTTTGCTGTAAAATTGCCTGAAATTATGTTTTTGAGGCGACTAACTGTAGATCAATAATTTTGATTTCTTTCTGTCAGAGGAACAGCTGTAAGCATAATCTCTTTCCCAACCGTTATTTGATCTTGTCACACAATGGTGCTCTCTCAAATGAGGAATAGGAGGTGTTGTATGATGAGACCAAACAACGGCTGCAAGGGAGACTGCAGTAAGCATGGCACCAATGCATTTTACTTTTGCACAGAAGTAGTCAGAAAATAGAGACAATAGACCACAAAATATCTGTGTGAGTTTAGAGAGATTGTTTTTTCTCTTTCTTTTGAAGTGAAGTAATGTGATATTTTCATTCTTTTGAAAGTTATAAAAACACCAGGAACACAAAGTGTCCCATTTTGACCTACCCAGCTGAAAAAATAATTCTTCCATGCTATGCATGCCTATGTTTTACGCACGTCTATGTTGTATTTGAACTTCCTCCCTTCCCTCTTCTCAGGGAATTTAAGACTGCAACACCTCAAAGTTTCATATCAGTACCTTTGAAATTTACCTGGAAGGAGTTTATGGTTTTGCTGGTGTCTTTAAAAAAAAAAAAACCTTTTGTTCTAATTTCTGGGTGCAGGCCAGCAGTCTTGAAATGGATATGTTTTGGCAACAACCCAAACCCTACCCTACTGATAGGGTGACTCATATTATGTCTCCTTCTTCTTCTGTATATTTTAAAGCTACAAGAAGAAGCAGCCATTGTGAATGACTCTAGTGTTTATCAAGTAACACTGTCAGAACCCTCAAGTTCTGCAAGCAATGGTCAACAGTATGCTGTTATAACTGGCCTACCATCTACAGGTTGGTGCATATGGTTAGGGCTAGGGTTGAATATACATACATTTAACAGACTGCAGAGTTCACTTACAATGTAATTTCCTTTCCTCTTTAATTACAGTGGAACGACTCCTCACTGACCTCTTGAAACAAACTCAAGAGAATTCAGGACTTCTACAGCAAGCATTGGCTGAGCTGCATGAATTGAAACAACAAGTGCAAAACCAAAAGAAATTTCCATTCACTGTCAAGACATGTGGATTCGAGGTACTGTTTTTCAGCAAGTTCAATTTCATAATGCTTCTTATACACCACAGCTTGTATGCATTGGATCCTAATTCAAACATGATTTTGGTAGCTCATCAAGATCTAAGCAGAAAGTATTCAATTTTTGCTATTACCATTGTCATTATTATTTTCTTCAATTTTTAGGTCACTGTTATTGGCATCCAGCATTGCTATAATTATCATTACTATTGTCAATAGTAATATTATGGTTACTATATTATTATTCTTTTATCATTATTTTTTTATATTTTTGTGGTACTTTATGTGAATAATAGCTTTTAGTAAATTTACAAAGCAATGTACTCTTTGTGTTCTTCCCCATTAATTATTTTTGGATAGAGGGAACTGGTGTTAAAAGCAAAAGAAATATTTGTTACATATGGACCATGGCTTGTCAATGGTTCTTTGGATAAATTAAAGGTAATTATGCTTGCATTGATGACAAAATTAATGGCCAAAATATGAACATTATCAATTCATGTGCTTAGTTGCTAAACCTTTAACCAGGATAATTAAACAAAGAACCAGTTGGTGTGATTACAGATGGCTAGAATAGATCAAATAAGGGAACCAGCCACATTTTAGATCTTGGTCAGGTCACCATCTCCCACATAATTAATTGTGTATCCAATAACCTTGTATTGGGGAGGAATCATTTTCCTTTTTCTTCTTTTTCTTCTTTGTAACAATGTTTCATGCATGTGCTTGTATGTTTTATTTACAAGGCATAGTCATTACCATAAGTTCCCTTTTTGAGATGTATGTCCTTGTTTCAGGAAAAAATTGAGGTCCTGTTAGGAGGAGCTGATAGAGTTGATGCCCACCATGTGGCCAGTTGTGTATCATATTGCAAAGAAAAATACACATTATGGAGAGCAGACATAAGAAAGAAGGTGAGACAATAAACTTTCTATCATGCATTTTTAGCAAATATACAGATATTCATGGTCTCACTGTTCAATGGTTGAATTCTAAATTCAAACCACCAGCCTGAATGAACTGATGTTTGCCAAACCTTTCACCTTACAGGTTCTCAACAGAAAATTAAATCATCTGAAAATAGCTGAATTCACTAATAAGTTGTATGCCCCCTTCAAGACCAAGGAGGAAGAGATGAAAAATGCTACAAAGACTGCAATGCTACTGGTATAACTTTTGATTTTTGCTACCTAAAATGTTTTTTTTTTGTTTAAAGTTATACTGCACTGGCATTTTATCCATTGTATGATTGCCTTGACAACCTAACTTGAGCATACAACTGTAACTTGTGGTTTCTGTAATTCACCGGTTTAATCTCCTAGATTTAAGCTGCAATCCTTAAAAATGTTAACTTTATTTTTGCTCTTCATGTATTTAGCTAGTGGCCCAAAATCTTGAATTGCAGGACTGATGTTCTAAATGGTTGTTAAAAATAAAGATTCTTGCCTGTATCAACAACTTTACTGCAAAATATTAAATAAGTTGTAGTTGAAAATCAAGATTTGTTTTCTTAAATTGTTTTTCTTCACAGCGCAAGTTTGCTAGTGAGACTGGCTACTTTGACGAGACATCAAAATCAGACTTTTGGGACAAGTTTGTTGACTTTGCCAATGCATGGAACAAAAACAAAATTTCAAACAAATGGACAACGCTGAGGACTGAAGATGAATCCAAATACACAGAAACACTTGAAACATCACATTAAAAGTTATCTAAGGTTAAATAGGACTGTGCCTTTTAAAATATAACCTCATACTTACACTTTGTAAACTTTGGTCCAACATTTCATTATTTTACAATGTTATATTTTAATGATGTACAAAATGAAGGAATCTTTTCAGCTTCATAGCTGACAGTTCTGATATTTACATCTCTATGTAAGAACCTCTTGATAATGTTCCTATGGGATCAGTTAAATTGAAGGCAGTGTATATTTCAAAATCATATTTCATAAATCACTTACAGCTATCCTTACAGTAAGTTAGTTGTAAGTATATAATGTAAAAGGGCGGCACTATTTTGCTGAGATAGAACTGTTATTGAATTTCTGTACAAGCAACTTGTTCAACTTGGGATATAATTTTTGAGAATAAGTGGCTTGCAAAAATTTGAGTCAAAAATGACATACTGTTTTTAAGAAGTATACCACAATCAAAATACTTTTTCAGGCTTACACATTTTATTTTAAAAAGGTTGTAATTAAGAAACAAATTTTTGGTCTAGTAATACTGCAGTTTGTCCTCAAGTGAATTCTATTTTTTATTTTATGTTGCATAAACACCTTTGCTATGTACAGGTAAGTGTTGGTCACCTTATTTCTGCAAAGTACATTACTCACTGAGATGGGTTGCCTAGAAATTTTTTTTTGTTTATTTATTTGTTATTTAATCTGCTCTACATGTAGAAAGTAGTAAATGGAAAAGGAAAGTCATTCTAGGAAGTCAGTAATATTGCCCTTCAACACTGTAGTTGTAATCTCTGCAAATTATGTTCATGTAGCCAAGTCTCAACCCCTTTGTGTCTCTCTGTGCTTATCAAAAGAAACAGGGTGTACAAAGGTGCAACAATACTTACCCATCTCTTTTTGAATAAAATATAGATAATTATTAAATGTTAGTTGTTGTACAATGAAAACTTGATAAAATCATTCTCTTATGTAGCTTGCAAAGCAATCTTCACTGTTACTTATAGGCCAAGGACAACAAGCTTGAGCTTGAGGAATTTGCACACAGGCATGTGTAAAATGTGAGCAAAAAATTAGGTGCTGTTGCAATTTTTCTTCTCTCTTCCCCCATGATGACTGTCACTCTAAAAGGACATCAGTAATAGTAGGACAAACTGCAGAACTTCCAAAAATTCCACTGGATAGAATGATGAATCAAAATAGACTTTCTTTGTTCTTAAAACCTGTTCACAACTGTAATATGGGTGCTGGTATCCCTGGCATTTTGTGAATTTCACTGTCATTTTCAAATTGTGACAAGTCACTCAGACTCGCCCACCACTTGTATAGGAAATGATCATTTATCATTTTGAACCAAGGGGTCATCAAAATGTTAGAATCTTTAGCTGCTTTCTGCAGTAGTTCTTTCAACTCACTCTCTGAAACATACCAACAGCGTTTAACTTCATTGGTATTTGGTTCTAGGGTTACATCCTTCTGCATAAAAAATACATAGTCTATTTCATGTTCTCCCCATATTTTATCTGATCCTGCTCTGTAATGAATCCTGGTGAGAAACCTGAGATCCTCCAAGGAGATCTGGTTGTCTAAGAGAAAAAAAATGCAACAAGACTCCAGCTTTAAAAAGTGAATAAAATAAGATGGTGGGAGATGCAGTAGCTTGGTGCAGTTAGTGTAGTGAAATGTAGCCTCCCAATTCAACGGTGTTGGTTAAAGCCTTGAATGGATCATAACGTTGTGGTCTCTTTACACCCTGGGGTAAAAAGAAGTAACAGCAAATTGCTGGATGTCTTGGTTGGGGGAGGGGGGTGTTACCTGTGATAAACTAGCATATGTCCACAGGTGGGAGCAATATTTCTGTACTGATATGTTGCTTCAATGCTTTGGGAGCCAGGAAAAGCTTTACCCCAGATGAGGAGCCACTAGGCTATCAATCTGACCTTCCATACCTTCACCAAAAATTAAGAGAAAATTAAAACAAAAAATTAACTGATGATGAAACATCCATTTTTTACCTCCAGAAAAATTTCAAAACTCTGCAGTCACTGGAACTGATAACAAAACATGATCATAGTTGTACAACAGTTCTGTTACACAAGAACACTCCTAGGTTGGTGTTCTCCTTGATATTAAACAGGACAGTGACCCTCTCTTACACACTTCCCTGCCCAGCCCAAGCTCAGGAATAGAAGAATTCGGTGCTGGCCAACATACCTGGAATTCCAAGTTCGTAAGAGAGCCTCCTCTTTGCAGCTAGTTTCACTCCAAAATTATCATGTTCCACCAATTCAGAATCCTCGTACAACGGATGACTACAACATGTGTTGGTGATGCAACCAGGAAACGTAACTTTCACGTCCGATCTCTGTTGTAGCAGTAACTGTCCCTTTGTGTTAAAGAGAAAGACACTAAAGGCTCGATGAAGCATTCCGTACTGTAGGATATTTTTTTTTAGGTGACATTCTTTTTTCGTTTCAGTGCCTTTAACGCAATCATTCTCGTCTACCAAGATTAGACGTTCATTTAGAAGTTTCTCTTGCGTTTCGTCTATGTTAGACAGTTGCAATATTCTTGAAGTGGTGTGGAAATTCTTCGATCCTGAAAATCGATAATGTTTCAAAAAAATAACAGTAGCTCGTATCAATCGATTCTTATTCCACATGACTAAACTTTTGTCCAAATTTGAGGGACGATTTAGTTTTCAGACGACATGTTTGTTCTTGTCGAAAGAACAACACGTGGTTACCTAGCTGATAGTGAAAATTGCTCCTAAGCGGGGCTCTGAGAGAGGCCAATTAAATTTCGTTTAAAAGGTATAAGAATACTCTCGATAGCCATATTTAAGTTCGTTATTAAGGGTGTTAAATAATTAAGCTTCTCTTACTTTAATCGTACTTTATATAAACTAAAAAATAGGCTTTCTGCTCCGTAAGAAGTTTAATGCTAACTGACACACCCCTACTAAGGTTATTCAATGTTTGATTTGTGCTCAAGATGGCGGCTGGGTTAAGTGAAGATGTCTTCCCTCCGCTAACGTTGCTGCTCAAGGTGAGAAAAGTTGCCGATAAATACTTTAAAGGAAACACTGGAACATATATTTTTGTAGGTTGGACAGCCTTAAATTTTATTCATTGACAGGAGCCTGATCGTGCAAGATCAAATTGCCCTACTACGAACAACTTAGAGGTAGTGACACAGGTTTTCCGAAAATACAAGCCTAGTATGACCATAAGATTGGGATACCAATTAGAGAGTTGGGAAATCTTACCCTCTTCTGTGTCGGACTAGGGGAGTCAGCGAACAAGAATTTTCTCTGCGACCTCGATCGAGTCAACGTCCTTAATTAATACCTTCCACTTTCTATTGAATGTAAACCGACAGGTCACTGATTCTGTCTGTGGTTAAAAATTTTTCAAGTTTCCCAGCATCCACGCTCCTGGATGAGCTTTAAACATTGGCACTTCGAGACAGTTTATGGATTCTTTTGCCCCCCCCCCCCCAAAAAAAAAAAATACGGAAAACTATGATACAAAGGAAATGAGAGACTTAAAAGTTGATTATGATTAGAAAGGCCCTTATATTTTCCAGATATCGTTCCCCGCTAGTACTTATTTGTTCATTCTGTTCAATGACTCATTCTAGGCTCAGTCAAAAGAATTTGTGCGCACCCTTTTCCACGAAGCTTTTAGTTACAGAAGTGATGCAGGTTAGTGTCCTTTAAAAGGTTTTTTTTTTGTTTTTCATTGCACAATTTATTTTAGGTTACTAGCGTTTCGTATTTTTTCTAAACAACACATTTATGAAGATGTCATAAGGTCCACCAATTGTCTAAAATCACAGCCTAAGTTAAGCTTTTCTGGATTAACCCTTAAATTTCAATCCTAGGACTGAACAATGATAAGTATCTCCTTGGAATTAACAATTTGATGTTATCAATCAAGATGAATATGCTAACTTAAAAGAAATATTAATATATTTTTTTCTTTTTCCACTCAGTCTCAGTATCTGTTCTCAAAAATGTAGCAGCTTCCTTAGATGCAGGACTTGATGAAGCAAGATTGGTAAGAGAATGAACACCTCACTCATTTGTTAGGGCACATTACTACAGGCTAAGATCATGCTTTAGTAGGAAAAGTTTAACCAGGCTTGGTTACATCATGTTGTAGAGTGCCAGACTGTCATGTGGGAGGTTGATGGTTCAAGCCCCAGACCAGACCAACACTCAGGGTCTTAAAATAACTGAGGAGGATGTGCTGCATTTGCTATGAAATCTGCAATTGGCTAGGCATTCTGATCTTCTTGGATGAGGAAAGTAAACTGTCTCCTGCATCTTCTCTGTACTGTTTAGCAAGGGATGAACCCATACACTTCTCACACAGAGTAGGGAATCTAGCTTGTAGTGTTGTAGTCTGGCCTTGTTATTGTTTATTTGGGTCCTCATATAAACCAGCTTTAAAAATGAATGGGGCCAGATTGTCTAAATATCACAAGTAAATAAATTTTAGAAATCAAATTATTTCTGATTTATTGATTCATTAATTACTTTGTAAGACAGAAACTGTTCCATTTGATTGTAATGTATTGTTTTAGTTAATGGAGAGCCTTGTGGCAGTGGTCCGTGCAGCATTGTTTGAATGCCTTACAGACCCAAAAGCAGTATATGATTTGTTTCCAGGTATGTAAACACTAAAATATTTATAACATACTTTAAATTAGGATATTTTTACTACCCTTTCATTTCTGCCCAGCAATCAAAGGTCTTTGGGTTAATTTCAAGATACTGAACATCTATGTTAAGCAAGACTTGCTGATTTTGCATCAGTTAGCAACCTGAGATTTTACACAGCGCAACTTGGATCAAGGGGGTTTTTTGAGTAGGCACTGATTGTGGGATTTGTTAAAAACCTTGAAACCTTACTGGTACTTATTTTGGGGATGAAAACTCAAGGATTTTACAATTGATATGCAATTGGCTACAGCTATGTCACCTCTATGAACTAAAGATACTTTTGGTAATACTTTTTTAGAGAACTTTCACAAGAATCTTAGAGAACTTATTTCCAAGATTATTGCTGAAAATATGTGAGTGTTCAACTTTTTAATACAATCTAATTAAATGTTACGTATGAGACTCTGAAACTGTTACATGAACCCCAATCATCTATGTTAGTGAACCACTGAAAAACAAGCATGAGGTGTTATTTAGGGATGAAGAAAGATGAAAAAGTGATGGTTGTGAGGAGAAAGCAAGGAAAAATTTCCCCAGTGAACTATTGAGATAGAAATATTCCTACGCATTATTGATGGGCTTTGCCGCCGAACTTTACCCTAAGTAGACAATCTTCTAGCCAGAAGGAATCCGTCAAATATTTTCAGTCATGCATTCAAGTTTTTGGCGATTTTGCTGTTTTTATTTGTCAGGCCCCTGTGGAGGACAAATGCCATTAACGAGCAAGGTAGAGTGATATTAGTAAAAACTGTTAACGCAGACCTGTTTTGTTTTGCGTTTATCCAAAATTCCGATTCGGTTATTAAAAAGTTTTATTTACTGGAGGCACATCTGACAAGATAAAAGAAGAGAACTTTTGTTTCCAAACACGAAACAGTGTAATTCCAAAACGGAGGATTTTTAAAACTTTTTCAACAACTTATATTAAAAATGAAGACTTGCCCGTCGCGGTTGCCTTCACTCGCCCGAAAATACGAAAAAAGAGGAAAAACATGACGCTTCTGCAGGCTGAACAGTAGACTACGTTTATATACAACAATCGAAATGCCGAAAGTTTCTGTGCGTGTATAAACTAAGAGAGATGATGAAGTTTTGAGCTTGTTCGTTGTGTTTATCAGTGTTTGGTCATTTTGTGTTTCAAGCTAAAAGTGACGCTCTAAGTTTGGGTGGAGGGCCGTTCTCCCTCCCCCCGCCCAGTGTTTGACTGACTTACTGTGTTTTTTTTTGTGTTTTTGACAGTTTCATTGCCAAAGCTGATTGACTTTGATTGGAGAGTGGATGTCAAAACGTCTTCGAACGTCATCAGCAGAATGTCTATGCCGACATGTATTATGCAGCTACAGGTTTGTTTTAAGAAAACCGAGTTTACCATTCTATTCTTGGAACTATAAATTCTTGTTCAGCTTTCAAATTTCTTTGTATTATTTCAGTCTCTTGGGTCGATGCGATTGTTACAGGTATTTCTAGGTAAAATCGAGTTTATTAAAAACAACAGTATTACACTGACTTGTCTTTGTCAAAATATAAAGAAGGTAAGAAAGATGTTTTTTCGTCTTGTCACGAGCGTGGGACAAAGAAAAAATTCTGAGTCCCCATGAGGAATCGAACCTCAGACCTTCGGATGTGAGCTACGATGCTCTAACACTGAACCACAGAGACTCTTCGGTGAGCGAAGTCTATTACGAAGTTCATATGACACGCGTCCTGCATACTGCTAGGATCAGCAATGTCGATAGCGTTATGTTTTTTGGATAGAAATAATTTTTTCTTTGTCCCACGCTCGTGACAAGACGAAAAAACATCTTCTTAATTCTTCACCGAGCTGAAAACTTACCATCTCTACTATTTCTATAAAGAAGGTATTTATCGTACACGTTAGTATCGATTTCGCAGAAGGATGCTTCATCAACAAGTTAACAGAGAATCTTAGGAAAGTTGTTATTAATTTTGTCACGATTCTTCTGCTCTTTGTGATATGGTGTTCGGCGAGCCAACCAATAAACCGCTGCCCCTGTCAAGTTTCTTACAGCAACTGACACTTTCCATTCGTACAGGATACATCCACACTTTTGAGTGACCATTCCTGTTTTATTTGAAGGTTCAAGAAAATGCCACAGAACAGAATTCAATGCCGTCAGTGCGGCGTCTTAATGTGGAACTGACTAAGGAGAAACTTGACACCATGTTGGATGGACTTGGGAAAATACGAGATCAACTCTCCTCGGTTTCAAAATAAATTTAGATAACAATTTTATAGATAACTGAAATAGTTTTAAAATAGAGAGATTTATTTTACAACGAGCGTTTTCCTGTCTTCGGGGATGTCACGTGTTTGAATTTCTCATGGAGGCTTTGTTCTAAAGGGTTTCCTTCTGAAGTTATTTCTAAGATTACGTGTGATTTTGGAACTCGTGAGAGGATCAGTACATGGATAATCCTGCAGTGCAAAGTTTTCCTATGGGGAAGAACTCATGCGATGTCTGTGTAATCCCCACGATGATTTGGAGAAAAATTCGTAGTGTATGGATGATAATTCTACATAATTCCAATATATAGTGACTAAAGGATATTGTTTCTCAGCTCGACCCGCCCTCGCCATTGTTCGAATATGGCATATTTCCGGCAACCTGTTTGTTTTTATTAAACCAGATTTTGTTGCGTTCAAGTAAATATCAATACGTCTCTAGAAACCAACAGGCTCTAGAACTTCCCAGCCCAGACAGTGGCACATTACAAATGAGGAAGATGAAGGTTTAAATTCGTAGCAGCCGAGCAGAGTTTATCTATCTTCACACTAGTACTTAGAGCAAACTAAACATGTTTGTAGATGAAAATGTTAAAATGTTTCTAACTGGTATAACTGTTTGTAATACTATCTCGCCTACATTGTGCAGAGCAATCGTTTGCGATCTTCCTTTTGATCCAACGGACATAATGTGCATGCAGTTACTATGTAGTGACTATACACTGGGTTTACATCACTCAATCGAAAAGTACTCTATCAGAATCTCAAATATTTTGAAAATGTCCAGCTCTTTCTGACCTTGGTAAATGTCACTTCTAGATAAATGTTTATCCTTTTTGTTTGCTTATATGTGTTTATGTGTTTGCTTATTTTGCTGCAATAAGATTCCTACCGCAAATATATTACATCGTAAGGTTTTCCCGTTTCCTTGCGCGGATCTTCTTAAAGAAGTCATTCCTTCTTCCCAGTCGTCTTTCTTTCTCATGAAAGGCTAGGTCACTTCTCTTAGATAGGCCTGGTTTCTCGGCTTCGCGCCTCTTTCGTTTTTTGAGATGGTCGATTTCTCGATCATTTTCCCAAGCCTGATACAAATACGCAAACAATGTGATGATTGTATCAACTGCCTCTGAAGAGCTCGAAGAACTTGTTGCAGATGTTGGCGTGGGGTTCAGTTCGATACTTGAAGAGCTCGTTAACGTCGATTCACAGTATGATGAAGATGAGGTTATGGTGCCGTCCGTGCTCGATACACTAAACGATGACGTTGTTTCCTCGCCCCAGCCCCAATCCCAACTACTGCTGCTGGTGCTCAGAGAAGTAGAAGCAGAGGTGGAAAGCGTGGGTGTAAACGTTTTGCTAGACGTGCTAGATGATGTTACGGTCGAACTTGTGGAAAATGTGCTCGTCTCTGTTTCTGAATGGACAGCAATGATAAAATATTTGAATCTAGGTTTATACCACAAAGACAAGCTTCCTTGCTTCGCAGATCATTAATGGTTGGCTTGAATTTCTACACATCTACATAAAAATGTGAGGTTAATCAATTGTCAACAACTAAATCGTGACCTGTATATTTTACGACTGTGTAAATTAATTGAAATAAAGAAATATTGATCCAAGGATAAATGAAATAGTACTGGTTTACACGGCTATTGAAGCGTGGTAACAAAATGTCAAGGGACTAGAAGTATTGCTGCCCCTTCACAGATTATTCTCCCTTAGCAATTTCCCACGTTTCTATTAGCATTCACCTGTGTCTATTTCTACTGTTCGGTCAGAAGAGGAACCGTTAGGAAAACAGTCCATTCTTAGAACACGATACCAAAGATTAAGCGTGCTAACCGCTTAGCCCTCGCGTCTCGGGACGCGCGTACAATCCGCCTACATCGATTCCAATCATTTATACTTGGAAAACTTAATTAATACCCTAATACGGTAGATTAGAGCAATTCTGATCCATAGCTTTGCTGGAAAAAACTTCCATAATCTTCCTATGTACCGTTCAGTTGGCATGCAAGACTATCTAAATAAAACAAACGTATGTTAACCAGTAAAAGGAATTAATATTGTCATCATAATCCTAACCGACGTAGAACTTTGCTTTTTCCTTACCTTGAAAAGCAGAGCACAGCCAAATGCTTGTTACCATTATCAACAGGACAGGCTTCATCTTTTGTTTGCCAACCCTGTATTGCTGCTATCGCTTACTGAAAGAAAAAATATGATAAGGCTTCTAGTCTTGAATATAACATGAGATTTCCTAATCACATTCTATACTGGTAAAGAAACGGGAAAAATGTTCTGGAGGCTTTCGAAATAGCACGAAAGTTCCATCTTGTGCTTCTAACATGTGTAACAAATGGCTGCGGGGTAAAATTCATCGAAACCTATTTACCTTTTCGTCGGAATAGCTGAGCCGGGGTAGATATATTTTCTGTTTCGTAATAGCAAACTGGAAAAGGGGTGAGCTGAACGGGAGGGCTGTTGGTGAAAGCTAAAGGCTAAGAAAACTCACTTTATCTTTCTACTTACCACGTAATTAAGAATGTTTTCCTCTAGCGAAAATTATGTTCATTTTCGGGCTGACTGAGGACGACTTAAAACCTGTAATAGATTTATGTATGATATTCTACACAGGGTTTTGTAATGGGCCAAAAGAAGTTATGACGTCACTCGGCTTTGCTACATGGCTAAGATGTCATTCCCGTTTGGATGGGTTCTCAAAATCTGTCTCACCGGCCATCAGAACTCAGGCGGTAGTTCTGTCTTATTAATTCAACTTTACAATTCCCAAACCACATGAGACTTACACCTTCTCGTGCAATTTAAAAATTATTTATTAGTTCGACGTGTTGTAGAAAATATGGCGTGCAGACGCGGAAAGCTTCAACTTTGAAAACTCCTACTGGTCTGAGACAAACCACTCCATTATGGAGCGACCTTATTCAAGGATCTGTCTGTATACTAGCAAAAGTTTCACTGCGCAGCAGTTTGTAAGATCTAAACAATAAAGTAATTCAACTTAGGTAAATTATTTTCCCTGCACAAAATTTTAAAGAAATTTCAGAAAAACGAATCACTCACCTAGTCTGATTGATTGGTTGAAAGAGGCTTTCTAACTTTAGCCGTGAATTTGCGTTGTTTATGGCAGTTTTTATCGCAAATGTTGATCGCAAAGCACTTTCGTAATTTAACTGCGTATTTAAATTCAACATTTGTTAAATCAATTCGTAATTTGAATCATTGCCTGGAAACCTCAATGTGGTGGAAAATATTTGCTGGATAAATGGTGTTCAAGAAGTTCTGCTGTTGCCATTTTCAATAATATGATAGAAACAGATCAAACCGATTTACCGAAAAAAAAAATGGAACAATAGTTATTGAAACTCTAAGACTTTTTATGGGTGCGTGTTATAAATAGGTTTTTCTTTTTATCAATTATTTATGTGTGTTAAAAAAAATCCCACCGACGACTTTTTAAATGATCAGATGTTAATTACATCTAGTGATATGAGCGTGTCACAATTTATTTTTAAAACAATAGAGTTAATTGGTATCGGGGAAACATAAAGCAATTTTAAACGCTAATCGCAAGGGATTTGACAGTCGCGAAATTTATGACCGAATTGTTCTCATTGAATGATTCGCTTTCGCCCTGCCCGGCGACTTTTATGACAATCACGCAGCAATTTGGCACTTCCCTTTTGTCCGTCATTCGAAGAGGACATGTGACAAAATAATATTTACTGATTGGTTGACCTGTCGCAAATGCAGAAAATCGCGGCTGAATTAATTGCAGATATCGGCGAGTAAAATTGCCAATCGTATGTTTCTTGCTTCACTATGCACAAGTTCAGTCAGACGTTTGCAACAGTTGTGCGCACTTGTGCTGCCTTAAAAATGTTTTGTCCCATTTTAATCATTTTTGAAATGGTCTATAAATCATAGGTACGAAGGAGCAGAAGCCTTTGAATCAGTTGCTTTCCCGAATCGCTGGCATTTTTGATGACAGAGGAGAAAAAAACTCTGTTTTATCCTTTTTTTTTATACTTCAATTTATCCTTTTTTTATACCTCAATTTATCCTTTTTTTCCTTTTGACTGTATAGCGCACAATGACCGATGACATTCCAATCATGTGTAATTAAATAATCGATAGAAACACCGTTAGTTACCGTATTTCTTCACTTATAAGCCGAGCGATTTTTTCAGTATTTGACACAAAAGTTTGGGAGATTTTTCCACAAGAAACGGGGTTCGGCTCATAGTCGAGGGTTTGGGATTAAAAAACAAGTACAAATTTATTGTTAATGCGAAATGACCGTAAATTCCGTGACTGCAGTGCTCTTTATGTGACATGCTTTAAAATTGTCATGACAACAACGTATTTCTGACCACCAATCAGATTCTTTGCTTCCCACGCGTTGAAAGACAATCTCACTCAACTTGGCAAAAATTCTTCTCATTTCACATTGCAAATGAAATATTTGGTCTCTCTGCTGTGAAAACCACTCCATCACTCGCTCGTCTAGTTCGGAAGCTTGCCAAAAAAGAATGGTCGCCTGGTCTCTTCTCCAGGGTCGCACCATGGACTCGCGCTCTTGGCATGATGAGAAAAATAACAGTGACAAAAGAGATACTCGATTGAAACGTTTGTCAGGTTACAGTAACTAACATTATTTTTTTCTCAGTTCGTGAGCGGGCGGTATTCTACAAATCCTGCAATCTGATTGGTTCCGTGAGCGGGCAGTATTCTCCCCATGCGGCCCGCTCACGGCTCAATAGGTTTCGCAACCATTTGTTAGGTTATAGAAAGAAAAAATGTTATTCACCAGCCAAGGTCGGTGTATAGGGAAAAACTGTGCCCTCTGTCTTATGTACCGCCCTCGGCCGTATCCAAGACCTCGGGCACAGTTTTTACCATACGGACCTCCCGTCTGGTGAATAACATATATGTATTGTTGTGTTTCTGCAGTCGCGTAGTAGTATTTACATCTTCACTGATTCGCTTTTTTTCTTTTGTGTTTATTCTCATTCATTAGCTTTTGTGTTCATTGAGCCATTTCCCAATTTTTTCCCTGACGTTCGCTCACTCAAATGGCCGGTTACAATCAAGAATTCCGCTCTCGGCTTATGGCCGATGGTTTTGCTTTTTCTTTAGGACAACACGAGTCTGTTGGAAGGTCTCTAACTTTGAGAGTCTCGGCTTATAGCCGAGGTCGGCTTATAGGTGAAGAAATATGGTAGTCAAGTCACGGTACATGACCACGAAACAACAGATTGGTCACAGTTAGAGAGTTACCAACCTAATCCTAAACCATGGGTATCATTTATTCTTTCATCTTTGCCACGTATCCTCTGGAGGGGAGAACATTTCCCTTTGGCAGGAAACTGAGAGGTAAGTGCTTTTGCTTTCTCGCTTCAATGAGAATTCTTTTTAAAATTTGCATTTGTTCCCAATGCAAGCCAGTCATGCACCTCGTAGTTGATTGACAGAAACTTCCTGTTTTAGGTTGAACTTCTAGAGGACAATAGAAGCTTTTATAGCTAGGTGTGCGTACCTCCCTTAAGAGTTCAGCAAAGTCCAATTAGATCACTTTTGTTTTCTAAACCATCTCAATCTCCAGCGCTCAAGGTGTTCGAGCCTTCTTGCGTTCATTAACCTACTGTATGCACAGATCAAATCAAAATATTTGGAGAAAGTTGTTGAGATCCTGTGGAGACCATGTTTCGAATGAACAGGGCAGTCGCAGATGACACTATTGAAATGCTTAATGAAGACAACCCCAGAGTGAAATATCGGTTTCGTAAATGTGGAACGACTCGTGGGTTGATCATAGCCCTAGTGGTACTTTTGGTCATCGGTATCATTGTTGGTGTCATCATCCTTCGATTTACGTCGAAAGGAACAAAAAAGGCGCCAATTGAGAACCCGTCCGCAGGTTTGTGCAAAAGCCATGCATGCCAGTCTATTTAACCTCGTGTTATTTTCACAAATGTTTGGATAACACTAAGGGGCGCACCCGGAACTGATGGTGGTTATCATTTAAATCTGATGCATAAACCCGTATGGCCTCATCATTCGATGCAAAGGCTTTTTAGATTTCAACGTTCTTGCAATCGAATGTTTATAACGAGAAAGTGAGCACAAACAGAATCATGGAAATCATGTCGGCGGTGAAGATTGTAACACCGTGCTATTTTGACTGAGTTTCCTTAGTCAAATGAAACGTTTCTAAAACTTCGAAATAACGTGCTCAAGTTCGTAAAGACACCCACCACGATGTGGAGTGGTTTTGCTGTATAAATGAGCATTTGAAGATAGTCGTTTTATCGAATGACTATGCAAGAACCGTTATGTAACTTATTATTTGCCATGATAAGATTCAGACCTTGTGATAATTATGTCTGTGGGGAAATTACATGAATAAAGAAACAGGACGTCCGAATTTGAAGAAACCAGAAGGCAATAAGCCGACTAACTTTTAAGTTTACAGTGATTGATTCTCGCGTATGTTTCCTCTTTTATATATCTCCTCCAGAAGAACCACAGAGTAATAAGACATCGCAGGGTAAGTGCGAACTGCATGTTCCCAGTTTACATTCTCTTGATGTCATCAATGCACTTAAATTCTAGCAAACACTTACAAAACTCAGTTGATTTACGTAAACGACCACAAGCCAACTCTCAATTCAATATCAAGAAAACTGGCTCAACATTGAAATAATAGGCTTTGTTCTAATGACCTTATATAGCCATTTTTTTAACAATGACGCAACAGCTTCAGAACGCATTAGTGAGTTGTCGAAGTTTCCGATAAGTATACGAGCGGGAAATTCACACGCTCGGAAAGGTTGAAGGAAAGACAGCGAAATGAACATTTTAGGGGAGAAAATAGCAGCGATAAAGTTGGAGGAGGAAACTTTCACTTTCTCGCTCGACGGACTTTCGAATCACGACTTCGCCGCTCTCAGATTTATCTTTCATAGTATGAGAGCAGTTCAAATCTCAATTAAGGCATCGTTTACACGGACGCGGCTCCCAATCGAAACGGTTTCATGACCTCGATTGCAGAATCATCGCATCCTAGGCCCTTATTGATCATGAACGGAAAATGCATAATTTTATTCAATTTAAAGCTGACGCTGGTTATTCGCAATGGGGAAATTGGTCCTTGTGTTCCGTAACTTGTGGGAAGGGTCGTTGCATTCGCTACCGCACTTGCACTAGTCCCCCTTCGAGCACCGGCGGTAAGGATTGTTTTCAACTGGGACCTTAAAACGAGAATGAGAAGTGCTTCGCAGGACGTTGTCTAGGTATGCATATAGGGACGAATATGGTTATGGTTCAAGCAGCTGTTGATTGGGAGAGAAAGGAGCGTGTTGTATTACGAACCTAATCAACGGGTACAAAGTAAGAATAATGGCAAGCAAGGTAAGTGTGTGCTGAAGCCGATGCGCACACTTAATGGGTTAGAGTTTATAAAGGGTTTCTGACGTGGACCTATTTTACTTACTCCATCCTCCCTCCCTAGCTTTCTCCTTGCCTTGCGGTTAGAAATTCTTCATACAAACAGGGTGCAAAATTCGACCCGTTCGCTTGTCCAACATGTTTTTCCACATGTTCAACGCTCCGCACTTTCCGCACGCGTTTCATTTTTCTCTCTCTGTATTGCCCACAATCTCTATTTCTCACCCTTTACACTTGTAACTCGCTGTACTGTCTCACTTTTAACGCTGCTACAATTAACACTTTTCACACACTTTATCTTCACCACTCACACATCATACGGTGCACATTTGTGATCAATCCATTGTAATTTCATTTTGTGTAGCGAATCTCTCAAGTTTATGCAACGTTTCCTCGCTGAAATTTATTCTTTAGCTTAAAACTAACATAATAGTACTAGTCAATGCAATATTAAGTTCTTATTGATCGTGAACGGAAAATGCACAATTTTGCTTCAATTTAAAGCTGACGGTGGTTATTCGCAATGGGGAAATTGGTCCTTGTGTTCCGTATCTTGTGGGAAGGGTCGTCGCATTCGCTACCGTACTTGTACCAGTCCCCCTCCGAGCACCGGCGGTAAAGGTTGTTTCCAACTGGGACCACATCGGGAGACTAAGAAGTGCTTCGCAGGACGTTGTCCAGGTATGAATATAGGGACGAATATGGTTATTGTTCAAGCAGCTGTTGGCTTCTCGAACAATAAAAGTGCGTGTTGTTTTACGAATCTAATAGAAGGTTGTAAAATAAGAATAACGGCAAGCAAGGCGAGTGCGTGCTGAAGCCATGCATGCTCTTTATTTCCTCAGACTCCATTTTTCACACCTTACACTTTTCACGCGTTTCATTTTATTCACTCTGTAACTCGCTGAACTGTCTCACTTTTAACGCTGCTACAATTGACACTTTTCACACACTTTATCTTCACCACTCACACATCACACGGTGCACATTTGTGATCAATCCGTTGTAACTTCATTTTGTGTGGCGAATCTCTCAAACTTATGCAACGTTTCGTCGCTGTTTTGAAATCTATTCTTTAGCTTAGAACAGGCATAATAGTATTAGTCAATACAGACCAAGTTCTTATTGATCGTGAGCGGAAAATGTACAATTTTGCTTCAATTCAAAGCTGACGGTGGTTATTCGCAATGGGGAAATTGGTCCTTGTGTTCCGTATCTTGTGGGAAGGGTCGTCGCATTCGCTACCGTACTTGTACTAATCCCCCTCCGAGCACCGGCGGTAAAAGTTGTTTCCAACTGGGACCACATCAGGAGACTGAGAAGTGCTTCGCAGGACGTTGTCCAGGTATGCATATAGGGACGAATATGGTTATTGTTCAAGCAGCTGTTGGCTTCTCGAACAATAAAGGTGCGTGTTGTATTACGTATCTAACGGTAGGTTGTAAAATAAGAATAACGGCAAGCAAGGCGAGTGCGTGCTGAAGCCATGCATGCTCTTTATTTCCTCAGACTTCATTTTTCACACCCTACACTTTTCACGCGTTACATTTTACTCACTCTGTATTATCCTTAATCTCTATTTCTTACCCTTTACACCTGTAACTCGCTGAACTGTCTCACTTTTAACGCTGCTACAATTGACACTTTTCACACACTTTATCTTCACCACTCACACATCACACGGTGCACATTTGTGATCAATCCGTTGTAACTTCATTTTGTGTGGCGAATCTCTCAAGCTTATATAAAGTTTCGTCGCTGTTTTGAAATCTATTCTTTAGCTTAGAACAGGCATAATAGTATTAGTCAATACAGACCAAGTTCTTATTGATCGTACTACCGTACTTGTACCAATCCCCCTCCGAGCACCAGCGGTAAAAGTTGTTTCCAACTGGGACCACATCAGGAGACTGAGAAGTGCTTCGCAGGGCGTTGTCCAGGTATGCATATAGAGACGGATATGGTTATGGTTCAAGCAGCTGTTGGTGGGTAGAGAAAGGGAGCGCAAAACTTCTGACAAAGCAAAGCTCGAAAAGAGAAAAAAAAAGCGAGAAGGGTAATAGGTTCCAAAAGAAGGGCACGCCCTTATTTCGGCCTTTGGAATGGTTCTATTCGGCATCGGAGGCCGATCCGGATTTGGGTCTTCCAACATGATTTGCAGAAGGGGATGTTTTGTCTGGGGTGATAGGGTTTCAAATGGCCTTTTGACGTGGTCTTTGTGTCAGACATGGCTTCAGATGGTCGATATGCCGTACTAACATTTTTGCCAGCTTCTTAACTCTTTCATGTTCAAGTCATCGAAATAATTTCTCCTTGATGACATAATTTTTTTACAATTTCAGCGATGAGAATCAAACAATATTCCCTAATCTGTTTATCTTTTTCCTATTAACGCCCATCTGCCAGACAATGTAATGATTCTGTAAGAAGAAATTTCACATTACTTACAGCCTCACCCAAATATCCTGCAGGTGTCTCACCATTCCCTGCGAGCTGGTTTTGGATACGACACAAAGAAGAAAAAAGTCAAAATGCTTACAACCCCGTATATTTTTCTTTCTCCCTCCCGTTTCCCCAGTTCAGGCCCTTTCTTTTCTGCGTCTGTTGTTTCCAGCGGCTTTCTGGGTGAGTGCTTCAATGACGAGTTCCAAAGATACAGCATGCTGCGCTTGTAATATTTTGATTACAACTTGACGGTACGAGGAACTGGGTGACAATATTTTGCGCCATTTTTAGTTTACCAGCGTCGCCGTTGGAATGTCTCGATAGATAAACTGCGTGCGCGTGGATTTAAGGGTCGAAGAATTTATTAATTAATTAAGCCGCATAGATTGCACCGTGGATCTCTTACAAAAGTCTAAAGTGTAACTCGTGGTGTTAAGGAACTTTGAACTTCTTACAATTCTTACACAGTTTGATAGCGTCACGTGCCAACCTTGAATATTTAATTCTCGAGGACAACATTGAGGGAATTTCACATATTTTTCTCGGGTCGAGCTACAAAACATTGAGTTGAAAGAAACGATTCAGTCGAGGATTCGTCTTAGGGGTTTTGATATGTGAGGGACTAAAATCAGTTAATAGGTGGGTTTTGATAAGTTAGTAAGTGGGTTTCCTGGAAAAACAGGATCAAGGATCACCGGATCAAGGATGAAGAATCACTTGCTTAGAAAAAGACGTTGTAGTCGTTTTTCCGACGGGATTTGACGAGAGGCGTGATTCGGAAAGTGATAAAATTGTATCGCCCCACTGAGTTGAAGAAGAAGAACACGGAAGTCAGAGACGCAATCACTTATGCACAAGTAAACCCGCTCTGTAGCTGTCAGTCTTCAATAGCAGTCCTAGTGGTCGGTAGGCGAAAATTGACACTTCCACAAAGGGGTATGGCTTTTTCAGTACTTAGTATTTTCTCTTATTTTGCTGTGGCCAAAATCTTTGAAAAAATTATCTACGACCAACTATATAACTATCTAAATGTAAATGATTTATTAACCAGTTGCCAGTCTGGCTTTCGTTCTCTACACAGTACGCTTACTGCCTTGCTGGAGACAAGCAACAACTGGTGTGTCAATGTTGACAAAGGTCTACTCAATGGTGTAATTTTCATTGATTTCATTGTGTAATTTTCATTAAAGAAAGCCTTTGACACTATAGATCACGAAATCATCTTGCAAAAACTTGCT